GGCCTGCATTTGGATTTCCCTTGATATATCTGATAATCTTCTTAGCAGCAACTAGATGGCTCTCTTTGGGCTTTGATTGGTATCTGGCACAGATTCCTACTGCAAAAGCTATGTCTGGTCTGCTTGCAGTCAGATAGAGGAGAGATCCAATGATTCCTCTATATGTAGTGGCATCAACATCCTTTCCTCCATCATCTGGTCCAATTCCTTGAGATGCATTCATAGGAATTTTGACTGAAGATTTTCCATCAATTCCAAATTTCTTGATAAGATCTCTGGTGTACTTTCCTTGGTTGATAAAGATGCCTTCTGGTACTTGTTTGACTTGTAGTCCAAGGAAATAGTTTAATTCTCCCATCATACTCATTTCAAACTTGTTCTGCATAACTTGAGAGAATTTCTTGCATAATTCTGGATTAGTGCTTCCAAATATAATATTATCAACATAAATTTGCACCAATAGAATATGATTAGCAACAGAGATCTGAAATAGAGTTTTGTCAACCTTTCCTTTAGTAAACCCATGGTTCACTAAGAATAGGGACAATGTGTCATACCAAGCTCTGGGAGCTTGCTTAAGACCATAAAGGGCCTTTTTAAGCTTGTAGACACAAGAAGATTGAGTGGGAATGACAAAACCTGGAGGTTGTTCAACATAGACTTCCTCTTCAAGTTCTCCATTCAGGAATGCACTCTTGACATCCATCTGGTAGACTTTGATGTCATTGTAGGCAGCATAAGCTAGGAATATCCTAATTGCTTCCAATCTGGCAACAGGTGCAAAGGTCTCATCAAAATCTATGCCTTCTTCTTGACAGTATCCCTTTGCTACAAGCCTTGCTTTATTCCTTACAATGTTGCCTTCTTCATCAGCTTTGTTCTTGAATACCCATTTGGTTCCAATGACATTCTGATGTTTTGGTCTAGGAACAAGTTTCCATACTTCATTCCTTTCAAACTGTGTCAGCTCTTCTTGCATTGCATTTATCCAGTCTGAGTCTTCTAGAGCTTCTTCTACATTCATTGGTTCCATTTGAGAAATGCAGCAGGTGAACATGGCTTCTCTTCTAGATGCAGATCTGGTCCTAACACCACTGGTGACTTGACCAATTACTTGATTAGGAGGATGATCTCTTAACCAAGTTAGATCGGGTTCTGATAGTTGCTGTCTAGGCAACTCTGATGGTTCATCCTCTGATTCTTCATCTTCATCTTTGTCTATCAGAATTGGGTTAGTAGTAGGGTTGAGAATACCGGATTGATAGTGACCTCTTCTGATGGTTCTGAACCCTTATCTTCAAGATTGATCTTCTGCAGGGTCTCTGATAGTCCTTCTGCAGAGGTGCCATCATCAAATTTGACATGAATGGATTCTTCAACTTGTATAGTTCTCCTGTTGAGTATTCTATAGGCTTTGCTTGAGCTTGAATAGCCTAAGAATACACCTTCATCAGCTTTTTCTTGAAATACTTTCAGATTCTCCTTTCCATTGTTTAGAATGTAGCACTTGCATCCAAACACATGGAAGTAGCTGATGTTTGGCTTTCTTCCTTTCCACAGCTCATAAGGTGTCTTCTGATGATTCTTGTGGATCATGCTTCTGTTCTGAGTGTAGCATGCAGTGTTGATTGCTTCAGCCCAGTATCTGATGGGCAGTCCTGATTCTGCAATCATAGTTCTTGCAGCTTCCTTTAAAGTTCTATTCCTTCTTTCTGCAACACCATTTTGTTGGGGTGTTCTGGCAGCAGAGAGTTGATGGAAGGTGCCATTCTGATCACAGAAGTCCTTGATCACCTTGTTGACAAATTCAGTTCCTCTGTCAGATCTGATTGTCCTAACCTTCATGTTCTTCTCAGTCTGAAGTTGCTTTAATAGAGATGGCAACTTCTGAAGAGTTTCATTCTTCTTTGTTAGGAACACAGTCCATGTGTATCTTGAGTAGTCATCAACCATAACGAGAGTATATCTTTTTCCACCAACACTGGGAGTTTCAACTGGTCCAAATAAATCCATGTGAATCAGATTTAGAGGACAAGTGGAAAGATCTCCAGCTATGGGCTTGAATGAAGTCTTCACTTGTTTGCCCTTCTGGCAAGCACTGCAGAGGGTCTCCTTCTTGTAGACAATGTCAGGCAGACCATCTACAATGTGTTCTCTTGCCAGTTTGTTGATGGTTTTGAAATTCAGATGGCTAAGCTTCTTGTGCCAGTCCCAGCTTAGCTTTGAATTGTCCTTAGCTATCAGGCAGGTTCCATCTTTTGCTGTTTGCCAGTCAACAACATAGATGTTCTTCCTTCTTTTGGCTGTAAGAACCACTTCTTTGGTTGTCTCATGCTTGACATAGCATAAGGTCTTGGTGAATTCAACTGTGTAGCCTTTGTCACAGAACTGGCTAGCACTCAGCAAGTTGAACTTCAGACCTTTGACATATGAGACATCTTCAATGACTATCTGGTTCTTGATCAGCTTCCCTCTTCCTTTTGTTTGACCATCCTTGTCATTTCCTCCAAAAGTGACTCGGGGTCCATTGATTTCCTGGAACTCTGATAGGCAACTCTTGTCACCTGTCATGTGTCTGGAGCATCCACTATCTATAAACCATTCTTGTTCTGAGATAGCTCCAGCACACAGTTCCTGCAAGATTAAAAGGAAGGTTTAGGTACCCAAGCAATGTTGGGTCCTGGGGGGTAATGTAGTCTTGGTAGTTGGTACCATTTTGGTCTCATCAACTGAAACCTTGGTGGATGGTACCCATTGTCCACCTGGTAGTTGTAGTAAACAGATGTATGATTCACTTTGGGCAGATGCTTGTGAGGATCATGCTTTCTGTTTGCATACTTTTGCATAGCCTTCTTAGTTGGAAAGAAGTCCCATATGCTATCAAGAGCTGAGTGCCGCTTAACTTTAGGCTTCTGAGGTTGACCAGTCAACCTCTTCTGTCTATAATTAATCTTCTCTTGATATCTGCCTTTCTGATAGCAGTTTCTGATACCATTGTCATGAGATTGTCTGATAAGGTTAGGCCTTTGACTATTATTTTTCTGAAAACTTTTCCTGTTGTTAGATTTTCTGCCAGGTTCATTAGTTTTCAAAATTTGTTTAGGTTTGGCCTTTAGAGTTTGTTTCTCTAGTATGTCCTTCTCATGAACAACTTTAGTACCAGAAGTACTAGCATGACAGTTGGGGCTCAAAGTCTGTGGCACTATGACCTTTTTAGCCTTAGTAACTTGGGTACTGGGCCTTACAGAAGGCTCACCAGACTTTGGTTCAACATATCCAAGGCCAGAGGTGAAGTTATGAGAGTCACCAATATTCTTCATGGAAGATTGCATCTTCAGAAGACTATTATATCTACTCTCAAGTTCCTCAATGTCTCTTATTCTTTTTAGAAGAGAATCATTTTCAGCTTTCAGTCTATCTCTTTCCTTAGTTAAGAGATTAAGTTTGCACTCAGTCTCCCTTCTAAGATCAGAGATGTCAACTTTTAGCCTACTGTTTTCTTTCTTGACAAAAGAATAAGTGGCTTGGATAGTTTGGAACTCTTCCCAAAATGATGACATTGGATCATCATTTAAGGCTGTGCCTACCGAAGAAGAAACAGAGTCAGAGGTAGAGCAAACCTCATCATCAGATTGTGCCATGAAGCAGAGATCTACAGTTTCTGTATCCATATAGCAAAATGCTTCATCAGAGTCAGAGTCAGAGCTTGACTCTGATTCAGAAAGGGGGTCTCTCTCTGCTTGCTCAGAGATGAATGCCTTTCTTCTCCTATGTTGATCTTCATGCTTCTTTTCTCCTTCCTGTCCTTGCTTCTTGGACACTCTTGGATAGGGGCAGTTTGCTTTGAAGTGCCCAGGTTGTCGACAGTTGTAGCAGAGGTACTCTCCATTGCTCTCAGAAGACTTGGTCTTCTGATGGGGTCTTCTGCTAGAAGATGGACTCCTTTCATCTTTCTTCATAAACTTCTTAAACTTCCTGGCAAAAGCAGCCATATACTCATCAGATAAAAGAGTAGAAGGGTCAAAGTCACTTACCTTTGAGGTGCTGGCAGTGAGAGCAGTGGTGGTCCTTTCATCAGGAACTTCCTCCTTCTCTTCATGCATCTCAAACTCATAAGCCTTGAGATCAGAAATGAGTTTCTCAGTGGCATAGGTCTTGATATTCTTGCTTTCCTGGACTGCAATCACCTTCATCTTCCAAGTTGAAGGCAGTCCCCTGAGGATCTTCATGTTGACCTCTTTGATAGTGAGCTCCTTCCCAAGCTCAGAAATCTCACTGATGAGAATCAGCAGTCTCTCATGCATCTTAGCAATGCATTCTTCTGGCAGAAGTTTGAAGTCATCAAACTTCTTCATTGCAATGGTCAGCTTGTTATCTCTTTCTTGCTCATCTCCTGCTCCAATCTCATCTAGCTTGTCCCAGATTTCCTTTGCAGTCTTGCACTTCTTGATTCTGTTGAAGTACCTTTCATCAATGGCCTTGTAGAGGATGTCCTTGGCTATATTATCTAGATTGTACTGCCTTTTCTCTTCCTTGGTCCATTCTGACCGGGCTTTCTCAATCATCTGGGACTGAGAGTTATCAATAGAGTGAGCAGGATTGATCTTCATGAACTGAATAAAGGGGCCATTTTCCAAGACTTCCCACATTTCATCATGAAGGGCACATAGATGTGCCTTCATTCTGATCTTCCAATCATCATACTTCTGATCTGTGAACATAAGATGCTTTGCAAGAGAATTATCCATTATAATAAATAAAGAGGTTAAGAACAAGTGGATCTTTGTTCAGAGAGTAACCTAAAAGATTACAAGAACAAGGAGGCTCTGATACCACTTGTTGGTCCCGATTAAATGGTAATCAGTCTAGAGGGGGGGGGGGGGGGTGAATAGACTGATTGGTTTTTCAAAATTTTCCCTGAGTCCAAACTGACTTATCAGAGAAGGTCTTACTCTGGTAACAGAGAAAGGCTGGTTCTGATATCAGAACTGGCCTTGGCAGCGGATTCTGATCTGTCCGGGTAGCCTCAGAAATACTAAGGCAAATGCCTTTATGATAACTCTGAAAACAAGATCTGCTGAACACAGATTCCAAGTCTTAGAGTTAATCAGTTAATGTCCTAAGTGCAGAAATATAAATTGCAGTAAATTAAATGACACCAGATATTTTTATAGTGGTTCAAGGAACAACGCGTTCCTCTAGTCCACTGTTCCACTAGCTTTGAAGTAGATCGGTTACAAAGCTAATTCCTAGCACTTAAGAAGCACTCCTCGTCTTCTTCAAGTCTAGATGCCACCCAGGATGCAATTCCACGTCCTGATGGCTGGTCCTTTCACTCAGCTTCCCGGAAGTATCACCACTTCACTACTGCAGTTACTTGGACGCCCTTCTTTTCAGAAGATCCTTTGAAAAACACAAAGTTTTTTTTCTCCAACTTGCTTCGTCACAAATGATGTTTGATGAAGATCTTGAAGTGTTGAAGAACAGGATGAACTTTGCTCGTTGTTGGGGATGAAAGATTTGGAGTTTGAATCTTCCCAACGTAGGACTTTTCTTGTAGAGTGTTATGAAGGTTGAATCTCAAGAAGTATGTTCAGAGTAATGAATGAAGCAAAAGTTGTCTTCCTTGTTCTTCTTCGTGTAGCTTATATACTGAGGTTGTCTGCCCGTTGGAGGAGGAGACAGCTGCATTAAATGCGCGTACTGTTGACTTGACCGTCGTTTTGGAAGGTTTCTATTTTTATAATATATCTTCCCGGATTCCTTGGTCAATCATTTGCAATCAATCCTTCAGCGTATCAGGCTCACTTAATGTGCATTAAATGCTTTCCTTTCATGCACAGTCTTCTAGCCGTTGGATGTTTTTACCCGTTGGATTCATAGCTGTTGGATGTTGCTTGAAATCTTCTAAGTGTTAGTCGGGCTCTGATCAGGCTCTTCTAATGTGTTGAGTTCTGATGGCTTTCTGATCTCTGACTGAACTCTAACTCTGATTCTGATAGGTCCGCTGATGAGTACCTCTGATCTGTAACTCTCATCGGTTATCAGATGTCCAAATTTACCAGCAACTCTCATGGTGCAACTCTGATGGACTTCTGATAAGAGAACTCTGATGGAGCAGTTCTCATAGAGCAAGTCTGGTCGAGCAATTCTGATGCACTTCTGATCTGATCCAAGGCAGAGCAACTCTGATCGTCGACTACACTAATACTTACAATTGAAAATTCTAATACATAACATCTAATTGGGGGTACTCTAACTTTCTAATCCTATAGCATCATCAAAATCTAATTACATATATTCCTTACAGCCCGTGGTCCTGCCCCTGGTCCTTGCATAGACGTTCATCGCGATGGACCGTTGAGCCTTAACAACCCTCGACACAAGATGTTCGTCCCTTCCCAAGGAGCATGGGCCTGCGGCTAGCCTTGTGTTCTAACTGGACGCGCGCCTGGTAAAAAAGGGGTTAATGGGCCGGACCTCGGCTTGGGCCGTTAACCCAACAGTGCGGAAAAATATGTATTATTTCAAAATATTGTCATTTCATAAATACCACCATTTTGGTTAGTATAATATCATAAAAGTTATAAATTTTATATTTGTATGAAAAAGTATAAAATTAATAAAGAAATTTTCATATCATTTCTATATTATAAATAATTTCCCATTTAAATGTATAGTTGAACAAAATTTTAATGATGTTAAAGTTTTTTGTGATGGAGGTAGTATTAGGGTGATAATTCGATCTACTCCTATATTTCATCAATAATACTCCGTACTTCGTATATTTGATTCTGTTTACTTTTGATTGATTAATACTACTACGTACGTAGTATCTTTTAATTTACTCCGTATGAGTTTTATCACTTCGAGTTCAGGTTTAGTAAGGATGTTTTCTTTTGGACTTTTTTAGTCTCAAACCAGACCAGACTTAAACAGACCAGACCAGACCAGACTTAAACAGACCAGACCAGACCAGACCAGACTTGGATAGTTATAAAATACACAGAGACCAGACGTTTACCAGACCAGTTCAGACCAGACCAGACCAGACTTAAACAGACCAGACCAGACTAGACCAGCAAATTTTAGTCCAAAAGAAAACATCCTAAATGCTGAAAATATCGACGTAACTAGGGAAGCACGGAGGATATGAGGATATCCCGATCTAATCTTTTTTAAGTAATGTAATTTTTTTTTGCCATCTAACTCATCCGCTATTATCTAAATTACGAGTTCGTATACGGTGCAACCGGCCCACCGTGAGCATGCTGCTCCCACAGGCAAAAACGTGCGTTATTGTTCACCCGCGTGAACAGTAACTTTTTATTTTTATTTTTATTTTTTCATTGTCCAGTAGCAGAATAATGTAATTCGTGTGTAAAGAAATGTAACCCACTCTGATAAGAAATGTAAATGCAGACAAATCAAAATGTAACTTGTCTAAAACATTGATTTGAATGTTAAAAATAAAAAAGAGTCTAATTGCTTATTTACTTTACCTAAATAGTGAACCTGTTTTATTTCTAATATTAAGACCACAAAATGTTTAAGGAATCTTTTTTTTCAAAAAAATCTTCTACTTTTTTTGCAAAAAAAAAAAAAAATCAAAAGTAGGAGCACAGACATTGAAATATTGAATAAAGAGTTTAGTTATCCAATTATTTTACATAAATAATGTATGTATATGTTTTTTTAATATCAGGACCATTAAAAATGATTTTAAAAATTCATTTATATTTGAATAGCAAAGGTTTGTTTTGTTGTGTAACTCGTATTGTTTTGTGATGTAACTCGTATTATTGTAAATGTAAATCACTTGTAAGCAAGATGTAACTTATTAAGGAAAATTGAAATGTAAATCACATGTTACAAAATGTAACTTTAGCCAAACCGAAATGTAACTTCAGTTAATGTGAAATGTAACTCTATATTATGAATAAACGTTTGCTATCTGCTGATTAATTTGGTCCAATATATACGTACCCAAAGCCAACAGAAATTGGATTAATTTGCTCCAATATTACGTTGTTTACTCTGACATACCCGAAGGCCAAAGCATCCAAATTGATCCCTAGAAACTCAAAAAGCAAATGTTTGCCATCTCCGTATAAATTGATCCTCACATCCATGAAAAGATACACCCAAAGCATAATAATGAACTCAATTGTTGAGCCGCTGGTGTAGCTCTTAGAGATGGCACTAGCTCTCAAGATGTACGAGTTCTTGGCGGCGGCGGCCATAGCTCCGACGAACGGCCTGCCCAGAAGATCCATTACTATGGCGGACACAGCTCTTCTTCGTGGCTTATAATTTGCTCCACTTGTTTTCCTTTGAGGCTTCCAACAAAGCCGAGCATAAGAAATCGCAGAACACCTTGGGGAAAGGAGAAGAGGGCTGTATTGGATGATGGTTTGCGCTGCTTGTGATGAAACGGAAATAGGGAATGATGATTTGCGGTGCTTGTTTTAGTGGCAAAACGATACCGTATTGGGATCTGTATACCGTGCGCACGGTACACCGATCCCACGGTATAATTTGCCCTAAATTACGTACTATTTCATTCAATCTAATCCAAACTTCCGAACCTCCCTTTAGATGGGATTATACATAGTTTATACAAGTTTATACAATTTTCTTATTTAGTCGTGCCAATGGTGTTTTATCATTTATTTTTCAAGTGATAAATTTATGGTTCATAACTTCAATTCATAAATCTTATGACATCATTTTAACACTTCCAGAGAGGATGTCACATGTTCGAATCTCATCCCAGTCCAAGGATGTTGGCTTTAACAGAACAGATACTATAATAGGTTAGAAAGATTTGGGGAAAAAACTTCGATTCATATTATTTCTCTCTTTTCATTATAAGTTTCAATCATAAAATTTTCACTTTCTATTCCATTTGATTGTCCATCTTGATGTAAGAAGTATTCATTCATCAATAGTGATCAAAGTCAAAATGCGCGCGGAACGAAATGCGGAATCTATATATACTACGGCTTTGTTTGCAAACAATTAATTTAAGTGCTTTTGTCCTTTTTAAAGAAAAAAGCACTTATTTTACCAAATAATACTAACTTTTACTTTCTCGGTTTTCGTGTAGAATCTACTTTTTACTTTTTCTATTACACAAAAGCATTTATTTTACCAAACACTACCAACTTTTACTACTAATCACTTTTTCCCAAAAAGTGCTTTTATTTAAACACAATCACTTGCAAACAGAGTCTACGGGTGTTTGGAGTTTGGAGTTTGGACTTTGGAGTCAAATTGTTTTTATTTGTTTTTGTGTAATTCATATCAATTCATTAATACTTCGGTATTTGATAAGTAAATACTGAATACGAGTTTCAAACTCCAGTTTATCTTTCAAAACGGAGCAAAATATTATGTACAAATGTGGTCTTAAAATTAATTATAGAACTTACTAAAGAGTTATTATAGGAGAAAAAAGGAAAGTTATTATATTAACATATATTCACCCGACCGCGGTGATTACGTGTTTGAGATTACAATATCACCGACAGGTGCATGCACTTAAAAATACTGCAATTAAAACAGCACTGTCGGTACAAAATACCAAAACAATGACATACCCTCATCCACAAAGCTAAGAAATTATTTGAGCTCGCTTTCGATCATTAAGAAAGGAATGTGCTTCTCATACGTGTCTATCAATCCATTATCCATGGCCAGTCGATCGAGACATTTGCACTTTGTTGATTGAATAAAGACTTACAATTATCCAATTAGGAAGCACCAATATTTAATTTTCATAAAAATCAATCGGAGTCCCCGGTTCAAAGGTGCCTATTACAGTGTTTTATATTGTTTATTATAAATTTGCTATAATTTTCCAATTAAATAGTTTTAAAAAACATATGGAATAGCAAATTTCTTCAAATAAGAGCTTCATTGTTTTTACCAATATAGAATTATGCTCTTCTACTTTAGAGTTTTTTATTTATTATTTTAATAGGTTGTGAGGCCGTTTGGTAACACTATTTTTCGGCTTATCAGACTTATCAGCCAATTTTTCACCAAACACGTAACTTTTATTCACACGCGCTGAATGGTGTAATAATAAGAAAAAATAAGGTTGAAGTTACTGTAGATGACCATTTTAACTATTTTTATATACGGAATATAATATTTCTTTATTTTATTAATAAAATATATTTTCAAAATAATTGTTTTCTTAAATCAGTAGAATCAGTCAATGCAGCCACTTCAGCCAAAAATTCATAAATTTCAGCAGAATCAACCGATTTTCATATTATCAAATAGGCTCTACGAGTATGATTCTATTTGTGCTTTTAGCCCAAGGTGTTAATTTTTATACTTCGTACGTGTTTTTCAGGCGAATATGTCAATATATTTTTCGTTTAAATCATTAAAAACCGAACGGGGACTGCCCCAACAGATCAAAATGTAACCGTAGGTATTCATTTTTTACAATTTTAAGTATTTTTTTACTAATTAATACTGTATTTATTATTGTCTCATTGTGTGTGATTTAATTAATCTCTTTTCTTAATTATGTGTGCGGTTGTGTGCATTTTATTGAATTGTTAAATTTTGCTCTTGTAAAAAATTGTACTCCGTATATTTTTAATTACTTTTAAATTTTAATTATTATGAAGGTGTTTAATAAATGAGGATTTTCTTCACATTATCATTCAAAAAGTATTTTCGTTTTTCTACTTTTATTAAATAATTATGTTTTCTTTTTGTTTATATGTACAACTAGTTAATAGTTCTACGCAATAAAGTAATTAATTTTTTTTCTTTATTATACAACTTTATACACAATAAAGAATATAATTTAGTCCCTATGTATTGAAAACACACAGGACCACCCTAACTTAGCAAGTTCTAATTTGCAAAAAATATGCTCTATTTTAAAATTTTGGTTATGTTTTCCTCTTACTCCCTCCGTTCTTTAATATTAGTGCTCTTAGGCTTTGGCACGGGTTTTAAGAGGAAAGTAGTAGGGGTAGTGTAAAAGGTGTAATGAGTAGTGGGTAAATGAAGAAGTAGGAAAGAGAAATGAGTAATGGTAATAAAAGTTGGGGTATAAAGGTATATTTAGAGTAAAAGCTTTCCTTAAATGGAAAGGAGGACAGATAAAAAAACGTCCCAAAAAGGAAAAAAAGACTAATAAAAAAGAACGGAGGGAGCATTATTTATCAAGAATTTATTATATAGCTAAAACGTCCCTCACAAATTGACTTGAAAATATTAACTTATTAAGAATCAATTGAATTGAGGAGACAAATAGAAGTCATCATTTGCTGGAATTGAAATGTCTGATAGATTGGGATTGCAATTAGTATCGGTTAAACAATTTGTTGGGAATTTGGAATTCCTAAAGAGTTATATAACAAGAAGAAAATCCGATCAGTCTTTTGTAAAAAGGTAATGAGACATATTGGGAGTATTCAAATTTTGAAAATTGTAAAACTCATATAAAAAGAAGCGTAATAAATGTAAATATTTGAAGAAACCTCTTCCATCCATACCAAATTATTTAAACCGCTATCTCCTGATGAGGCAGTAGAGCATTAGTATATATAATACCAAATTTAAATGTGATAAATTGTCTTCAAAAAAGGGAAAATATGGAATGAATTGATTGTAAATTATTAGATTTTAAGAGTTTCGTTTGCTTGCGCTTTGATATGAATCTTAAATAAAATGGAAATTTTCAAAATAAAAGCAAAGACCTCAGCTAACATGTTAGAATACAACAACTTGTCGATTCTAAAAATTTGTCTTTTTTATAATAATAATAATAATAATAATAATAATAATAATAATAATAATAATAATAATAATACGGAGTAATAATTAGTGAACTATATTTGTTGATACAATTGAGTAATCAAGTGTTTCACAACTTGAAAACTTTTTTTTATCTATCCTACATTTTCAGCAATTATGACCCTTTTAACCGACTTAAAGCATGATAATGATTAATGAACAAGGACATAAATATACCGTGATAGAAAAGTGGATATGGGAAATTTTGTTCTTTCGATCTCTCTAGTTGTAAATCTATTTTAGTTTAGTTTTTCTTTCCTTTAAGGGATAATTATAGTAGTTTGTAATAGTCAAAAAAAGGGAAAAGATAGATATATGAAAAGTATTTATAAATATTCCGCAATAAATGCAAATATAAACTCTTGTTTTTCCTCATTTATACAAATATCGAAAATGACATACAAGCAACGAAATTATTTGAGCTGGCATTCATTCGCATTGGAATGAAGTGTGTTTTCTGTACATAATAAGGCCGTAATTGGGACACGAATACTTTGCTAATTGGTCACATCGTCTCCATATGTGCAAGCACCAATATTTAATTTTCATATTCGGATCCAACTTGAACTTGAAGGCTCCGTTTCGAATAAAATATATGCTTATTCCAATTATGTTTTTTATGGATATTCCAATTATGTTTTGCTTATTAATTCAAATTTTAAACAGATCAGAGCTATAATAAGTTCGTAGTCCTTTGCATTTATCTGATTTTGTCGGTTCAAAATTCACATTTTTGCCTTCCCCGACTGATCAAACACAAGCCATGGCCGTCAGTTTTCTAGAGTACCACCATCAGCTACCAACTCCACGGGCGGATGTGGGGCTGACCACAACCGGGTCCATCTCAAATTTGAAAAACGCTAGTATTTCTGGAGTAAAATTTATTTGAATTTTTCACTACTACATTTAGAGGCCTTTTGTAACGCTCAAATTTGTTACAATTAGTCCAAAAGTCTGTTACATTATATTAATTGTAACAGTTTTGTGGCGTTACATTCGCTCGCGTTACAGTAGCTCTAATGTAACGTTATGTAACGAATATAAAAATCAACTGTAACGCTTTTCTCTACTCTTCTTAAGTGTTGCAATATCAATTTAATCATTACAAAGTACAAAGGTAACGGTTATTTCTAAAACGAATGTATCACATATGATGGAAAATGTAGCACTTCTTTTGAATCTTTTTTATAAAATGTAACAGATTTTATATATAGATCTGTCATGTAATGGAACAAACATATATAAATAATATATATTATATTCATTTCCATAATGTCTCATAATTCAAAACACATTGTACAACCAAACTGAACTGTAATTCCAAGGATAACAAACAAAAAAATTGTCCACCAAATTGTCAATTGCAATCAAACTGTCCACCATACTGTCAATTGCAACTAAACTATTGAGAGCATCATAATCTGGGACATTTTCTTCACGAAATAAAAGGTGTCCTTGGCTTGAGAAGCATTCCAACAAGACATCGTGCAGTACGTGTGTGCATCACTCATTGGAATGTTGCATTTCCTCATCATCATGTTTATTACTATCCTGCAAATTAAAGAGTTCAAATAGTTAACACAATTCTTTCACACTACTCAGTCCTATAAGCTAAAAAAATTCTTTATGGCTTTTTCAAGTTATTCAAACAAGACACAACAATATCTCGGCCAACAAATAGTAATTCCACACTTCATAGAGATAGCACAACTAGTTATTAAATGCTTCATTCAAGTCCATAGTAATACAAAAATATGCATTGAAATAGAACAATGTTAAGCTAAATCATTAATAACACAAACGATCCATCATCCATGAAACCACATGTACCAATAAAACTAATAGTCTATGGGACCTAATGA